GGGCTTGGGAGTGAGAGAGAGTGAGAGAGAGAGAGAGTAGTCTTCTACATGGGCATATCTATTTTTGTCGGGCCCATTGTATTTTAGTTATGTTTGAGAGAGAGAGTAGTCTCCTACACGGGCGTCGTCAGACTCGTCAGTGTCGTCACCATCGAGCCTTCGGCGTGGAGTTTGAACCGTTGTATTTTTGTTGTGTTTGAGGTTCATATGCTCGCTCGATGTACTCTCTATGTTTGGGTTGCGGCCTTAGAGGAGTACCATTGTAGCCTTGTAGGAAGTTGTAGCCTTGTAGGCACTATATTTTTCTTGTGTCTGAGGTTCATATGCTCACTGCCTGTACTCTCTATGTTCAGGTAGCACTCTGTATGTTGTAGCCTGTAGGATACTTCATGGATAATGGTTTTTGGAACTTTGTGCACTGTCGCTCGCATTGTTCCGTCTTGTCTCATTTGGATTTTCATTGTATGCAGTTTCATTGCCTACTATTCAGTACATTTGTTCTTGTTGAAATCACACCATGAATTGTTGTCGTCTTTGTTTGATGTTAGTAACAGCAGCAAGTGACAGCAGCTGTCAGCAGGGAACCTATTGATGCGGAAACTACGGTGGTATGAACGTATGAGTCCGTATGACGCTTGCACATGTTTGGTGTTAGTGACAATGAAGAACCTATTGATTCTTGACACTGTTTGTCAGTAAATCACTATGTTTTACTGTTCAAACTACTATTAAGTGTAGTAATTAGTAATTACCGTAGTAAGAGTGTGTATGACTAATAATGGTGTGCAAATAATGGTGATTATTGATCTATAATTATTGATGTTCTGATTTTTTGATTTATTATTATTTTTTTTTGCTTTCATTCTCTGTATTTTGCATGAGTAGCAGGCTAGCAGCATTACATCTTTGTGTAAGTTAAACGCAGTTTAAGTAACCATGCATTATGAACCTCCGGGGGCCGCCAGCCTCCGGGCCACAGTCCCCCGGCTCCTGCCCCCAACCGTAGGCCTTGTGCGCGGCATGCAAAGAAAAAAAAGTAGGTGGTTTGCGAACTTCCATCACCAGCCCCCGGCCCTCGGTCCCCCGGCTCCGGCCCCCAACCGCAGGCCGCACACCCAACAGGGTCCAAGGCCTTAGGCCACCAGCAGGTCCAGCATGCCCCGCCACACGGCCCACACCCGTCCGCCAACTTGCACGGGCCCCCAGCTGTGAACAAGCCACACCGACCGTGCCGCGCCACAGCAGCCCTGCACTGCCTCAACACCCCCCCCACACACACACC